TGACTGAAGACAACGTGAGTTTGGGTTACAACATTTCAAATAAAAGATTGACGCATCAGTAATATGATGTTCAACAACATTTTCTTATTCGTGTTGCCAGCTTACCTCATTTTATGGTAAGAGCGACTGTTGAGGCCAAAATGATCAAGTATTTTACGAGCGCTTTATGTCATTCTCACCAGAACATGGGAGGTTCTTGAGAGGCATTTAGAAGTTGCAATTGGTGTTCAAGTAAAACGCAAATATTATGGATGACAACTTCTTCTTTATTGTATGTCACAACGTTTCTGGGCTATTCCTTGCCCCTTCGTCAGGTGAATACGTAGGGGCAAGGAATAGCCCAGAAACGTTGTGACATACAATAAAGAAGAAGTTGTCATCCATAATATTTGCGTTTTACTAGAACATGGGAGGTCATTCTAATTCAGTTGTGAATGTAGTGTTTCATGCTCACGCAGATATCGCTCAGAGTAGAATATCGAAGGACCACCTGTGGAGAAGAGGTGATACAAAATGGTATGAAAATACTTTCATTTCTCAACAGACACATGTATTTTGCGTTTATTTCTCATTTTGATAAGTCAACAGTTGTAAACAATATATATACTTTTATTCTGTTGCAGTCACTCGTCCTCTGCGCCCTTGTCGACTTTCGTCTTCGAAAGTAGTGTGTTTGAACTGTATTTGCCAGTTGTCAAGTCTATGCTACAGGATTATAGGATGTATTCAGAACAAGTGTTCAGAAGAAGAAAGTAAACCAAACGGGAATGAATGAAGAAATAAACAAAAGGATAAATTGACTTTACTTCACACATAGTCTATGAATGTAGTCTATAAGGCGACAAAATGGATCATGTCATATTCGGTGGATAAATATATTATATGTCAGTATATCCCATTTGCGTGGTTCGATCCTCATGATGTCAATCTTCTACAGACAATTGTCCAATATTTCAGAATAACTGCAACAAAAACTTTGTAACATAATGATAATGCGCATGTACTGTGGATAATGAGCCCAACCCACTCCTGCAGCTATTATTCTCTCTGATTAACGTGACCGTAGCGTGACAGGTGCAAAGACACCTCACACGTTGTCTAACACATGGATTTTCCCCCTATGAGGGTATGTAAGTTCCACATATGTCTATGTACATCTAGACACACCATACTTTTAAACGTAGCTAATTTGTCGTTTTAATTTTTGGCTAAACTCACTATCGCCAGTGGCTGGAGATGATGTAAATCCAGCTACGGTAGCAAAGGTACTGAAAGTCCCCATTGTCCCTAGTATGGTGATTAACCTTCAGTTGCTGGTGACCTGTAGCCGTTTTATTATATTGTATTTGTCCTGTATTGTAGTTAATGGTTTAATGCTTACATGCTAGTTTTAAATTTGTCTGTGATAACCCACTAGTTTTACTGTCCTTTGCTGACAGATTTTATGAAATAACTGTATTTATCATTAAAGTATATATATTGATTTAGTCACGATATGGCTGAAATATTGTCGAAGTGACTTTAAATCTTAACTCACTCACTCATCCAACACATGGATGCACACTACAACACTATTATGATACAGGACAGTCACTGTTGATAGAACATTGATACAACCTATATGCATTTTGCAACGACACAATTTTGAAAATGATGCACACAAACGTGCATGATCAGCTCGGTAATAACGCAAGGCAGCGTATGAAACAAACATCATGTCAGTCTTTTGACAGTGACACATAAGTGCGATATTTCGCATATATTATCCACTGGGCTTTTTCATGCCTGTCTATTTTCAAAGGGGCTAAGCTCTGTGTTGGCAGTGGTATCATCTGGGACATATACGAATTCAACATTTATACGCCGTGGAACGTACGATGATTCTGATTGATTTCGAATTTTATACAATGCAATGTCAATTAACGATGAAGGCATGTTAAGCTTGTTATTTCGTAGTAGTAGTGTGCAATTGAACATAATTGTGATCGTATGTACATACATCAACCATACTCAGTTTATGAACATGAAGCAGACCTTCTAGCTTTGCGAGGGAAAAGTTAGGTCTGCGTCATGTGCATGTTAAGCCAGTTTTACATTTGTTTGTATTTTCGTTTCAACTAATCCGGATAATCCTTATCGTTTGCCTGAATCATCAACTCTTTAGGTCTCTAGGTCTACCTTGCTTATAGACTGGTTCATAAAATCAGATATATATTTTTATACATTTATTTACATACTTACAACTTGCATAGTCCAGGAGGGTGATTTCGTCATTCTGTAGACGCCATTTCAGAGGTAAAAGGGTCTCATCCAATCGGACATATTTCCTTCTCCTTGAGGTTGGTTTGCTTCCGGCTGCATATAGTTTCAATCACGACAAAAACTGATCTCCAGTATCTGTTGTCTGGAATTCTGGAGGCATGACAAGACCTTGTCTGCTTGTTGGAAGTTTGGGCTGGGCGGATGTTCTTGCTCTACAGAGTGTCATTCGATGGGACTCGAACGTTGGTATTGCAGACACTGCTGGATCTCCTCTCATCTTTTTGATCTCTTCATCGAAGAGTGATGGCATTGGATCGAGGGATGACTTGGCAATCGTCTTCATATTTGTAAAAACCTCTTTTGCCTAAAACAAAAAACAAATAAAAATAATGATCAATATAGAATGTGGCTTAGATTATATTCATAAGCATACCTTGATATAGTTCATGTGAAAATGTATACTAGCCACATAAAGAAACTGCATTGTAAAAATATTATCCCAGTTGATAAGTACGATAACAATGTCAAAGGTACATATAAACTTTAATGGAAGGGATCATGAGACCATATCAAGTCGGGAGAATTTCGATTGAAAAGTCAATCACAATGACGTCACGAGTCCACAAGCGGGACAGGGGTCAAACGACCATGTCACAAGCTCAATAACGGGTATGTCCACCATCGGCATTGAGAACAGCAGTGCATCGACGACGCATAGAGCCTATCAAACGTGCAAGGAAGGCTTGTGAGATGTCACGCCAGATTCTCTCAAGTTCTGTTGCAAGGTCAAGGACGTTATCTGGCGGATGAGGAAGACGGCGTAGACGTCGATCCATCTCGTCCCAAACATGCTCTATCGGGGAGAGATCCGGTGAATTTGAAGGCCAAGGCAGTAAGTCAACGTTGTGGTGTTGCAAGAAATCCACAGCAATCCTTGCCGTATGAGGGCGGGCATTGTCCTGTTGGAATGTTAACCCAGGGCCATGACGTTGCAGAAAAGGAACTGCCACAGGTCGAAGAATCTTATCCCTGTAGCCCACACCAGTTAAGTTGCCCTGAACAATCACCAAAGGAGTTCTTTGGCGTGCTGTTATTCCACCCCAAATCATCACGGAACCACCACCAAAGCGATTCGTCTCAAAGACACAGGCCTGTGCATCACGTTCTCCAACGCGTCTATAGGCACGTTAACGTCCATCACTATGGGAAATGTTAAACCTGGACTCATCTGTAAAAACAACATTTCTCCACCAAAACAAGGGTATGCGGACATGATTTCGGCACCACATTCGGCGAGCTTGTCGATGACGTTGTGTCAGGATAGGCCGTATGGCGGGACGTCGTGGTCTGATCCCGTGATGACGTAAATGTTGTCGAACTGTGATGGGGTGGATACGGCGAAGTCCTGGGATGGTTCGGGCAGTCATCACTGCAGTCTGAAACCTGTGGCGAAGATGGGTCACCCTTATCCATCTGTCCTGTCTTGGCGTTGTTACACGTGGACGTCCAGAACGTGGCCGATCGATGACGTCATTTGTGTTCTGGTAGCGTCTCACCATTGCAGAAATGGCAGTGGAAATGTGCAGCCACTTGTCGTTGAGACATTCCTCCACGGACCATCCCAATGGCCTCATGACGTTGTGCAGACGTGAGCCTTGGCATGCTATGCGTTTCAATTGCCGTTTAATTTTTTTGAACGATCGCAAGGGCAGGGGTTGAGCTTTCCAAAGTGATAGTATTGTGTGGCATTCATTTGCTCTGTTTCTCTTTCCCGGAATGCACGTGCAACAACGTATTGCACGTCTCAAGGACGAACCCACTGACGTCACGGAACGTGGCACGTGCATGCATGTTGGATACATGCCACTGATCTCTGAGTTTAAATTCTTATGTGTCTACACAGGTTTGATAAATTTAGATTATAAATTTTTGTATGCACAGATTCTTTATGTGCCTAGTATATTTATAAATTCAAATATATTTGATATTAAAATACTTGTAAAATGCCATGTTTACCTCAATTTCCCTGTGTACAGGTGGGTGGTTGTGGTTATTGCTAACCATTGTTATAATGTCATTCGATGTCGAATGTTGATCCACCGTTCGGGACAAGGCAGGGCAAGAAATCCATTCTCCTTTTCTCGTGTTCTGTCTGTACATAAATATCACATGTGTTTATGATATCATATGTGTTCATTTCTCAGACAATTAATGCTCGTCCTATTCTGAGGATATGATTCAAAACGAGAGATGTTGAATTTTGAAGCAAGTATATATTTATAAAATAACCATTTGTTGGATAATCTATAACATGTTTATAATCCGCAAAAAGATTATGAATGATGGATTGATGGGGTTAAAATGAAAACAAAACAAGTCTTTGCCACTGATATGACAATGTCCCACGTCCATACAGAATGGAATATCTATAACATATTTAATACTTTTTATGTTCTGGACATATACAAGATGCCTGAAATGAGTGGTGTCTGCATAATCACCCAATGTAGGCGGTCAACATAATTGAAGACATTGGGTGCAATGTTTTATGAGATGTCAACTGGTATTTTGGTATTCTCCCAACGTAGGCTGTCACCAAGTTTGAAGATATTGGCTACAACAGTTCATGAGATATCGCGTTAACAAGAATCGGGACGTACATACGGACGGACGGACGTCGCTAAATACATACAGAGTCGTGCAAAAAGTATTCGGACAAAATGGCGACCTCGTCAAGGACAAAAGGGAACAAATGTTGCATCAGTGCTATCAATATTCGCCCTAACAGACTAGGACTATAAATAAATATATTGGTAATACAAAAATGGTGACAGTCATTTGGTCAGGATGTCTGACTGAAACTCTGAATACCCAGAAGTTCACAAGACATTTTTTCTAAATTATATTGACAAGTCTTAGAGTAAGTCCAGTGCTTTGATTGGCTGACTTTGCAGTTGTCATAGTAACCTCCAGTATGACTTTCAACCAAGGGAGACAGTGCCAAGAACACCACACTGTTAGCAGCTTCAATGGCATTCTGAAAAAGAACAATTTTGAGAAATTGATGTAAGAATTGACCATTCTCTCAAGTAAAGAAGTGAAATATTACGAATTTGTAACTCATAAAATATACTATGTTATCAGTGGACTGACTGAGTTTGGTTTTACGCCGCTTTTAGCAATATTCCAGCAATATCACGGCGGGGGACACCAGAAATGGGCTTCACACATTGTACCCATGTGGGGATTCGAACCCGGGTTTTCGGCATGACGAGCCAACGCTTTAACCACTGCACTGGACTACCCCACCGCCCCGTTATCAGTGGAAAGAACTGAAAAAGTTGATAAAAAGGTGGATGTAGAATTATGAAATATATTTACTTGGCACATGTACATAATGATCCACTCACGCCTCAGAGTGACAATGTTAGTTTAGACATAGGTAAGCTATATCCCAGGAAAAGGTGAAGAGGAACAGTGAATACATTAACACTTGGCTACTAGGGCTGTGCAATAAAACCGGTTTACCGGTATTTACCGGTTCAGACATGAAAACGATACGTACTGCGATACGCTGATCAAAAACCAGTATTTTGACTTGCATTCGGAAAACTTCGCAACACTCGGCAATCTTCGGATATTTCCTTGTTTCATTTGTGCCAAATATTATTTACATTTCTATTTTGTCATGATTAAAGGTTGTTGTTAAAACTTAATCAAGCATAGTTTTTGTTGTGATTTTGCTCTAAGAATCAAGCTTTAATACATATTGCAATATATGCTTTCGCATCGCAATATATCGCAGTATGAAAATTCTCTGCAATACCCACCCCTATTGGCTACCCACCCCCCTGAATGTGAAGAGAAGCAGTGAATTCTTTAACAACTTGGCTACCCCACCCACTGAAGGTGAAGAGGAACAGTGAATACTTAACCACTAGAATACCCCACCCCCTGAAGGTGAAGAGGAACTGTGAATACTTTAACGACTAGACTACTCCACCCCCTGAAGGTGACGAGGAACAGTGAATACTTTAACCACTAGACTACCTCACCCCCTGAAGGTGAAGAGGAACAGTTAATACTTTAACGACTAGACTACCCCACCCACTGAAGGGGAAGAGGAACAGTGAATACTTTAATGACTAGACTACCCCACCCCCTGAAGGTGACGAGGAACAGTGAATACTTTAACACTTGGCTACCAACTCCCCTGAAGGTGACGAGGAACAGTGAATACTTTAACGACTAGACTACCCCACCCCCTGAAGGTGAAGAGGAACAGTGAATACTTTAACCACTAGACTACCCCACACCCTGAAGGTGAAGAGAAACAGTGAATACTTTAACGACTAGACTACCCCAGCCCCTGAAGGTGACGAGGAACAGTGAATACTTTAACCACTACACTACCCCACCCACTGAAGGTGAAGAGGAACAGTGAATACTTTAACGACTAGACTACCCCACCCCCTGAAGGTGAAGAGAAAACAGTGAATACTTTAACGACTAGACTACCCCACCCCCTGAAGGTGAAGAGGAACAGTGAATACTTTAACCACTAGACTACCCCACCCCCTGAAGGTGAAGAGGAACAGTGAATACTTTAAACACTAGACTACCCACCCCCTGAAGGTGACGAGGAACAGTGAATACTTTAACGACTAGACTACCCACCCCCTGAAGGTGAAGAGGAACAGTGAATACTTTAAACACTTGCCTACCCCACCCACTGAAGGTGAAGAGGAACAGTGAATACTTTAACCACTAGACTACCCTTCCACATTTGCAGACCAAGGAGGTTGGTAGCATGAGATTCAATCCTGACAGTACCTTGAAGAACAGATGACGCATTATATCCATGACCCATCGAACTGACCAGTGTATATTGTCATACAAATTTGTATTGACAACTCCAGGATGGAGACAGTTGGCAGTCACATTAGAGTTATCTCCCTTCAGCAACTGGCTGAGAATGTAGGTTGACATAATCACAGCAAGTTTTGAACTTGCGTATGCTGAATGTGGGGAGTACGAAGATATACTTGTGTGGCTGAAAATATCAAGAAAAAGTCTCCGTTAAATCAACAGGCATGTTGCACAATTCTACACAGTTCATGAATGTATGGTGTGCACACGTGAGTATGTAAATGTGTACCACCTGAGTGAGTGAGTTTGGTTTTAGCAATATTCAAGCAATATCACGGCTGGGGACACCAGAAATAGGCTTCACACACTGTACCCATGTGAGGGATCGAACTTGGTCTTCAGCGTGATGAGTGAACGCTATAACCACAAGGCTACCCCACCGTCCCACATCACCTGATGTTTACACATGCCAGTTTGATCAGTTTCAACTTTTGTGAAGACATGCTGTGAACTATCATACAGAATACAGCATGTAACAAGTGGAGAGTTGGACTGTCCTGGAGGTGACCAACCACGTATTGTCATTTGAGTCATCTTTCCAGAAAAGTGTACCTGCCCTATGAGATCCATAGTGGAGTGAGTGAGTGCATGAAAGGTAAATACTTCATTTGTTTGTTGTTAATATCACACAATATTCCAGCAATATGATGACAGTCTGTAAACACCTGAGTCTAGACCAGACAAGTCAGTGATTGACATCTTGAGCATTAATCGATGTCATGTTGATACACTGACAAGGATTAACCAAGTCAGTCAGACTGACCACCAATCTTGTTAGTTACTTTTCATGTGAAGCAGGGTTTGAACAGTATTCTGGGTTGTATACCAGCTTTAATGCTGGAGGAGTGAGTGAATGAGTTTAGTTTTACACCGCACTCAGCAATATTCCAGCTATATGGCAGTGGTAGCATGAGCATCGATCTGCGCAATTGGGAACCGATGACATGTGTCAACCAAGTCAGCGAGCCTGACCACCTGATCCCGTTCGTCGCCTCTTACGACAAGCATGGGTTACTGAAGATCAATATTCTAACCCGTACCTTCATGGGTCTTATACTGGAGGAAAGCACTAAAATAACAACGGGCACACAGACCCATTTCAAGCACACTTAACAAAATGCATTTGGGATAATTTTTTGTGGAAGTCAGGTACACTGAAGGGGAACAAAAATAACAGCCCAAGAATAACCAGTGCTGCATTTTCTAAAAAATGTACCAGGGTGCCAAAACAGAAAATGCCCCTGCGATTTTCCGCTTGCCCACACTTAGGTATGATGTTAACATACCAAAATCAGTAATGAGGAAGTATATCATGATCTGAACCCTCAAACGGCATATCCTAGCATAAACAAGGGACACAACTCTGCACCAGAATGGTAACCACACTCAGAGACAGGAATGATCAGCTCTAGTCCGACTCCTCACCTAGGCTGGATGTCGGTGGCATCAGCAACCCAGTGTACAACGGAGGACACGTTGATGATGTGAGCACACCTGTCTGGTGTACCAGAGGCTTTCAGCTTGTTGAGCAGCAACGACGTGAGGTACAGGTGAGACAGGTAGTTCACCTGGAAGTGAGTCTCCAGTCCATCTTCGGTTTCAGAGTAGGGAACCAGCATAACCCAAGCTGGGGAAGACACAATCCATTCAGATAAATCTCTGCTAATGATGAACACATACCTTTAAAATTACATTACCAGTAGCTGGTATACATGAAACATGCATCTCTTTAAGAATTATAAAGGCAGAAACATGAAACCATGGCAACAATTGACAAATTTCAAATGCAAAATTACAACCTTCCCAAAATAAGTCAACATTGCATTATCCCAAATCTCTGAACAAACAAATAATGTCTGTAAAGATCCATGCTTTACGCTGTATCAGCTTGTATAGAGACGTGACATAAAATAACATGTGATCACAGATCTCATGACTTTCCCAAACATGCTGGCATATTTGATTACAGAAATGAAGACACCAAATCAAACATAAAGAGACTAGGAGTGAGTGAGTTTAACTTTACATTGCACTCAGCAATATTCCAGCTATATGGCGGCGGTGTGTAAATAATCGAGTCTGTACCAGACAATCCAGTGATCAAAAGCATGAGCGTCGATCTGCGCAATTGGGAACCGATGACATGTGTCAACCAAGTCAGCGAGCCTGACCACCCGATCCCGTTAGTTGCCTCTTACGACAAGCATGGGTTACTGAAGGCCAATTTTCTAACCCGTACCTTCACGGGTAAAGAGACTAGGAACTTCCATGGCTGCTATGGAATTCTATGATGGTATAGAAATGGTGTTATTGAAGGCTGTACATTTACTTAGTAAGCAGTATTCAAGTTATAACTTATCGCCCAAGACTTATGACAGACTGTTCAGAATTTATGGCTAGAGGGGTTATGATGATTTTAAGGGGGGTCACCCATTTTGTTCTGGGGAGGTAGGGGGGGAGGTGTCAATTTCGTACATAATGTTTTTAAAAACGTAAACTTAAAAATTATCGTAAGAGGGGAGGAGGAGGGGAGTGTCATTGATTTTGTACATGACATGCAAGGTGTTCACTTACTTTGTACATAAATTTTAATGTGTGTGTGTGTTGTTTTTTTTTGGGGGGGGGTGTCATTCACATTGTACATGCTTCTCCATAAAACTCATCATCATGCCTCCCTAGCCATATATATGAGTGGTCCCTAATATTCAATTACTGTGACTTTGGACACGATAGCTTGTGATTGCACAGTCAAAGATTCATATATACTGTGAACCTTAAGTCTTAGCTAGCAGCTGTTGTATAGCCATACAGACTGTGTTCATACAGCCAAGGACAGAGAGTGGGTAAGCCTTGTTGTTGTAGTATTTGCTTCATGTAGTTAAGTCACATAGGTAAAGCATTTGATGCCTGCTTCTTTTGTCCCTAGTCGTGATACTGATGGAAAAATGATACAAGCACTGCAAAAATACTAACTCACAAGTGAACTACCGTATATTACGGTAGAAAAGCTGATCCCATAGATAAGCCGAGGGATAGAATGGCAGCAAATTCATATTGGATTATGAAAGTTAATCTTGTTGTTATACTATCTCATGAGAAAAAATGTTCTTTGCATATCTGGACTTATGTTTGCAATCTAGTTTATTAATATAATTTTACTCGAATGCGCAAAAAAGAATGTTCATATTAACTGCGGTGAAATTGAGTGTCCCTCATATACTTATAACTTCAGTCCGCATTATTTGCAGCAATCACTTTCACATTGCATCTACTTACGCCTCGAAATGAAGTGTCGTTGACAGAAAATGGATATGTGTCTATAGCAGTCCAGGGATCCTATCCACAAACTGTTCATAGTATGTTTAAGGCTATGGTAAAGTACACCGGTACCAGAGAACGTAACACTACGATTGCTTTGTGGTTCTGCACCGTGACCATCATCTTGGCATTCATTCAACTCTTCGCCTTACTTTTCTTATCTTAGATCCTTGACTTTGACAAAGCCGTATAAAATCAGTCAGTAATCTCGTCAATGTCTCTGACACATACCATTGTTGATCAAGATGTGCAGCGGCAACCCTGTGTGCTGGAAGTTCTCTACGAATGACCGGACAGATGTCAGAGATGCTAGATCCAGGTGTAGGAATTGAACTAGAAAAGACAATTGTGGGTTAATCACTTCAAGCACGACCAAGAACAGAATGATATTGGTTCTGTACAGGTGTGGTGCTGACCAATGACCACAGTGAGTGAGTTTAGTTTTACGCCGCATTCAGCAATATGGCGGCAGTCTGGAACAGACAATCCAGGGATCAACAGCATGAGCATCGATCTATGCATTTGGGATACGATGACATGTGTCAACCAAGTCAGCTAGCCTGACCACATGATCCTGTTAATCGCCTCCGACAACAAGCATGGGTTACTGGAGATCAATTTTAGCCTGGATCTTCATGGGTGTCCATGACCATAGGCAATCTCTCTCAATACTGATCATTTGAACTTCTGCATAAATCACTAAATATGTAACTGTCATTGCTCCCCATAATTCATAACACCACTGACATAACTAAGGAGGTTGCTCTCTCGTATTTCGCTGTATAAGGGTCAGACATAAGCAGTGGAGATCAGCACCCAGTTCCACACAGGAACTGTAGAACTAGGATGATCAAACCTTACTTTTAATACAGGCTTAAAATACCCCAAGTGCTACCATCCCTTTGTAGAAATGGGCCCCGCTCACCAAATATACATGAAAACATCCACCTGAATCTAACAGGAGTGGACTGTTACTGTTGCAGTTGTTCAATGGTCATATTCATATTAAAACATGATGAACTTCATGAATCCCAGCTGTTTAGAGGCTGTTGCAAATAGTATCCATACAAGCACATGAATGTTTTTCCAAAGTTTAAAAAGATAATTGCTGATATGCATCGTTGCATGCAAACCAGAGAGAGCTTGTCAGTAAAGGACATCGGCTATCTCTGTCAATACACTGATTTGTAGTATGTTCAGTATGTTTCTTGACCTAAGCTTTGATGATTCATTTCCACTGTATACTGATTGTAAAAAGGACAGATGTATTATAACCCAAGTGCTCCCATCCCTTTGTGGAAATGGGACCAGCTCACCCAATGTACCATACAACATCCACCTGAATCAAACAGGAGTGGACTGTAACTCGTGCAGTTGTTCAATAGACATAGACTCCACAATTCCCCTTGTGTACAGGGGTTTGCAAATGTTATCCACACAAGCACATGAATGCATATTTTTTTCCAGAGTTACAAAATGTAATTACTGGAACCATAAACCTCTAAATCTGCCATGAATGACACTGGCTTTCTGTGTTAACAGTGGTTACTGCTGTATGTATGTTCAGTGTATTTCTTCACATAACTTTTGTTCTTTCATTTTCATTGTATGCTGTTTACATATTAAAAATCTATTAATATTATTTTTCTGACCTCTAACTGTTGACAGTTCAGCTCTGATCTTCGCTATAGCTTCATCAGCTTCCTGCTTACTTCTGCCAGCTGTTGAAATAATTATGGATGTATCATGACATATTATTATCAATAAATCTTCCATGTTTATAAAGAATCAGTACAGAATTAGCAAAAAAGGGACTAAATTAATAATTTATATCACATAAACATTTACATTTTTCAACATTAAAATGATTTAACATGACATACAACATAGGAACACAGAAAACTCAATTATGATCATTAATAACTGTTTAATGCACCACCTGGTTATTAGGCTTTCACCTGCTTAATTGCATTACCTATGAAAACGTGGACATTTTTCATCTCTAATTTCCTTGTAACTTGATATCCAATGCCAGATGCTCCCCTGTTACTATGGCAACCAGTCCATCACGGGTATCTGTTAGGGAGAACGTATGAAGTAATGTTAAATCCATGTCATTCATGTGATAAATACATCTCAATCGTGTTTATAACGTTTATGCAACATTATGATTCACACAAAATACTACTGTATAACAAGGATTCGAAATACCACGCTCACAAGTGTTTTCCAATAGTCTGTTGAGTCTACCTACTGTGTAATCATTCTGGTTTCTTTCCATGCCATAGAATTGGGACCAGCGCTCAGATATTCAAACTACCCTCTCAAACCTGATGCTGATGGAACATGTTTTTATGGCACCAAGAATACCATCAAACATCCGGGAAACATTGACATGAAGTGTTCCTGGCAATCGGAAAGCCAATGTAAATACAAAGTAATATGTAGCTAAAAGAAATAACGTGTTTGTTTGATAATATAAACACATATTGCAAAGTCACGTGGTATTATGTGTGCAATACATCGATGAAGTGACATTAAAACAACCTTACGATCTACTGATTTCAAACATATATATAATCCCTGAAGAGTAAACAATGAAACATGTTGGAGGAAAAGGCTTTGTGCTATTTTTTATCTGATAGCGAAATCCCTTGAATTACCAAACACAGACCAGTATTTATTCAGTAAGTATACTTGTAGAGTAAACAGAAAGGTATTTATCTCTCAAGAACTTCAAGTAAATATTGAATGTTGGTGGCTTTTGGAATCCGAATATACTTTCAAATGTGTGTTTACACTGTTTCAAGTTGAAGAACTCTCCACACAAGACTTCTGGTGCAAGCTAGTTGACTGAAGTAACGTGTTACAATGCGTTTGAATGCCGGAAATGGCAAATGGAGATAAAAGCTTGAATACGTCATACAAAACGTTGGTATGTTTATATAGCGAATCTATTCAATATATACATCATGCACACAAACTTTCAGACAAAGTCTGCAAATGGTATTTCTGACAAAAAGAATAGATTATATGCACATGAGCATCAATTTAGCACCAGCGACGTTACAATATATGTACGGAAGCTCTACGTTGTATATACTTCGGGCATTATCCTGTCTATTTCGCAACTGGAGACGCTGATGCATTGTGTGTGCATTACGTAGTATTATATAATCCCGCTAATGTAGGCACGACAACGGCCACTAGACCGTCACTAGAGTTCTTGAGACCACATAACGGACACGGGCCGTCTTTGTCACGAGTGAGTGAGTGAGTGAGCGAACTTTTGACGATAATCCATCAATATGACAGCGAATGACTCCAGACATGTGATTCACACATTGTACACATACCGGGGCAGAACCCTGATTTTCGGCGTGACCGTTGTTACAAGTAAACGCATTAACCTCTAGGCTACCCTGCTGCCCATAAGATTGCATATATGTGCACATTTTGTTGACTTGTGATGATGTACCCCTATCACCCATATTTCATGATATTAATTCATATTGACAGTAGCGAGTGACCTCGTTCATTGTAATGAAAATGTTGAAAGAATAATATTTTCACGAATCTCATCCTCATGTCTTCCAAGCTCAAGTACATCATTGAACATACACCCGGAAGGTCTCGGGTGTTTATCAAGCCTTCTTGATAAATACACTTCTTTTGATCATTGTGCGATACTCTATGGATAATATTGAAACGACAAGGGTCACGTGTTTACCAAACTTATAACCCGATTGTAAATTAGTTCTAAAGACCATGCAAACTTGGATTTGAAAAAAACAATATCACAGCTTCGTTGACAGTAAATATTCACACACAGGAGAGGTAAATCAAAACGAGCCAATATTGAAAAGGATGAAAGAATATTTGCCGCTCAACATCTTGAGGAGAAATCAGCATTGAGCATTGTCTGTATCTGAAGAAAGCAAACACTGTTTCTTATAATAAAACATGAATGGCATCAGACTGGTATCATCGCTGATTTAAAAGCATTACCATATATGTATTTATTAGTATCACCTGCAAATATTTTTTTCAAGAAACGTCGAAATGGTAAACTTTAATTTTGAGATTTCGTGCCATGTTTTCGCGAAGACATGATACCATCGCTATTCCATAGTGATACATACGTTACCATGCTGATGGTAGAGTCGGAGTATTGTAATGGATATAGAAAAGGTCTTTGCCCTGGATAACTGTCCGTTGTTGAGATAGAAGTTATTTGATCACACAAGCCAACGTCCTAACCTCAAACGGTGCTCACAAAGACAGAGCTACGGATGAACTCCGTGCCCTTGAACGCCCCTATTTTAGAGTTTACAAGGCTTTCAGAAAGATTTATAGCAGACATGTGGAGGTGTTTCCAAATTTGACGGATCAGTAAAAAAATGATGCCCGTTGCAATTACCTAAATTGGCATATGTCAAACCATCTTTTTTGCGAAGACCTGATTTGTAACCACATACTTAGGATATAGTCGGAATGGTTGAATGTTTTCAGAAGATATTTCTTATTATTATGGAGAGGGTTTTCGTAATCCAAAGACAAAACTGCTTATGTTAGACATTATCGGTTTCATTGAACAATATTTATTGCGACTAAAGTGCAATCATATTCATTTTCGTATTCAGGGCGCCATGTATGAAACATGTACGCACTCTGTACCCCCAACTCTAATCTGTGCTAGTCGATAATGATGCTTCCATGTCATTGAATATCGAATCATTTGTACCAACTCAGAGCTTTCCAAGCTTTTTAAGACAATTATGTTGTTTTCTTTATTACATTCAGTATGTATACATTCCTCTACTTCATGTTACATACCTGTTTGACAACGCTGCAAGAATCACGAAACAAAAAAGTTGTTATCCATAAAGTTTGTCAACATTGTATTACAGCATTTTTCCTTTCTCTTTTGTCTGTTTTCAACATACGGATTATATTGTTTGCACAGCTTTCGAGAACTGTAAGGAAAACAAAACCATCGATATTTCACTCTCACGAAGTGATGACGTGCACTGCTTTGTGTTCGTTTAATGAAGGAAATGCACACACTTCGTACACTCAGATTTACATGGCTTTGATTGTGAGCAATAAAAAGCATGAGAACCAACATCGACTGTCATGGGAAACAGATTCCGTGGGTATAAAAACAGGTACGGGACAAAACGGCGGTGAAAACCATGAGAAGTTGTCTATATCAGCCAGATCTAAAGAACTGACAGGTAAGGGCTCTAACCTTACCGTCAGAACCGGACCTTGCAGCCATGAGTGTACTAATGCTTCTGATGATGGGGATTCTTATGGAAAGAGCAGACAGTTACAATGGTTGTGTTGATATTTCTGTACGCGATCTAAGCAATGTGTCATCAGGAGAAAGGTCATTACACAGTATACTAAACACGACGACAGTTTCCAGTTTATCTGAATGTGCTGTGGACTGCGTCAACATGGACAACTGTGCAGCCTTCTTCTATCACCAAACTCTTCTGAAGTGCATTCTGAACTCAGAACAGGTGTCACAGTTGAATCTCACGTCTGAGACTGGATGGATTGGATTTAACCTTCCAGGTAAGCCTTCCTTTTCGCGGTGCAGGGTTGTGTCCCTTTAGCGTGCCAGGATCCTATGATAGTGGGTGCTAATCCCAGATTCCCCATGTTAAATATGATTTGAGATCTGATGGCACCTGTACTTGTGGTTTCATTAAATCAATAACCGTCTACGACCAGCGCCACTTCGATCATTACATATCGAAATATTGCTGAAATAATGAAATTTTTGCAAACTATTTGAACATATGGAGACTAATTGCACAATGGCAGCTGTTTATCAGATAGTGTGGTTTCTTGCATTGAAAATATGTCAGTGTTTTTTTAAAAAAAACAATACTTTTGTGTACGAAGATGTAAGAGAGATTTACTGAAAGGTGTACCTCAAATAGCCATTATGAGACTCATTACGCCTCGTTTAGTGAATGAATGTTTGACCAGTTATGTAGCCGTATTACGTACTCCTGCTTAAGGAACGTTCAACATTGAAATTTCCCCTATCTTCCTTCAACACTGTTGGCGGTCAAAACATGTACTTTCATACTTCGCTAACAGTTACAGTGTGATCCCGGTATGTATATTATTGTCATAAAACTATTGCTAGAAATATATATTTATTAGAGTTTGAGAGATGTTATTTCTGAGTATCCCTATTTTAAATTGTATTAGTTAATTTGCAATTATGTGTCCTAAATATTTTAGACAACATCAGAAAAGGTGCATCAACAAATGCAACTACCTCGTCAACACCGTCGACTACCATAGTAACAGACACCAAGACAGACGCCGTTGCACCAACTGCTGAAACTACTATTTCGACCGCGATCACAGCTGGCACTAAAACTACAACGACAATTGCAGCTATAACGCCGACAACTATTACTTCAACTTTAAAGGTGACAAATACTACCGCAACAACTGTTACTGCAACGACTACGACAACAGCTGTTCTTACTACAATGACACCTGCAACTGAAACAGCTGATATTTTTACAGCTTCATCGAATACAACGACAGCTGCTACGACTACTTATCCGACTACGACAGAGACAACTGCTACATCAGTAACTACTTCAGTAACATCCCCTTCTAAAACAGCTTCAACTGCAGATGCCTTGACTACGGCGACGCACACGACAGCTACTATGATACCTGACAATGTGACAACGGCCCAATCGACCACGACTGTTGCACAGACTACGAAGACAGCTAAAACTGTTATTTCTACCAGAGCGTCATCGACCTCGATAACTGCAACGACGACATCCCCCACTTCGTCAGTGCCATCCCGTACGACGACTGCTTCAACTGCGACAACAGCTACAACGACTATGAAGACAGTTATTCTTAATACAGTGACACCTGCTACAGAAACAACTCATCCTGCGACATCTTCATCGAATTCAACGACAGCTGCTACGACGACTTACCCGACTAAAAACGAGACAACCGCTACACCAGTAACATACCCTACTACAACAGCTTCAACTGCAATGACAGATGCCTCAACTATGGTGACGGACACTACAACTACAGTGATACCTGACAATGCGACAAAGGCTCCACCGACCACGACTGCTGCACAGACTACGAAGACAGCTGAAACTGCAACAGTGACTCTTGCAACTGACAATTCTGTTATTTCTACGGCAGTGTCATCGACCTCGACAACTGCTAAGACGACAACCCCCACTACATCAATGGCATCCCGTACTACGACAGCAAAAGCCTCAAGCAGGGTGACGGACACTACAACTACAGTGCTACCTGACAATGCGACAACGGCCCCACCGACCACGACTGCTGCACAGACTACGAAGACAGCTGAAACTGCAACAGTGACTCTTGCAACTGACAATTCCGTTATTTCTGTGACAGCTTCATGGAAATCGACGACAACTGCTACGACAATCCCTACTCATTCAGTGACATTCCATCCTCCGACAGCTTCAACTTCGACGACAGGTGTCACGACTACGATGACTAACACTACAACTACAGTGATACCTATTAATGTGACAACGACTCCACCGACATCTGTATCGACTAAAATTACTGCTGCGCAGACATCGACGACGGCTGAAACTGTAACAGTGACTCTTGCAAATGAAACAACTGACGTGTCTACTTCACCTACATCGACGACAGTTGTTGTTTCTACTCCCAAGACAGCTGTCACGACGACTAACCCAACTACTACACCAATGACCCTTGCTACTACGATGGGTTTACCTGCAATGGCATCTACCACGACTTCACGAAAAGTGATGCCTTATAAAGCAACAACTACAAGTTCCAGGACAACAATGACACATGTAGCTACTACTCCTGCGCTGATCTCACTGTGGGTGGAGTCTGTTCTTAAGTTCTCCTCCCAATTCCAGAATGTGGAGTAAGTAGAACCAGATAACAGCGAGTAAACGGACACAGCTGTAACAATATTTCAATCCTAGGAAACCTTTGTCCTGTTTTTTTCATGTTCCGTTTTAAACAGTCAAGCCTCAGAAACCGTTAGAACAATTTAACTGCGCATGTATTTCTATTGATAGCAAACCAATGTGGTCGCTTCCATTATCAATATGGCTGCCTCGGCTGCTAAGAACCAAATTATATTGTCGTGTGTGTTATATATATTAGTTGTTAGTGGATCACTACATGTGTTATTTATGTAATGTTTCACATTATTTGCTGCTCTGACACAAAACATAGACATAACAACCAGAAGTCTTGCTTCATTTGTATCATCAGAATATTTGTTTTTGAGATATACGTGCAATTATGAGAATAAATACAAATAGTAAACTGACAGACACTTATATAATATACTCAGCAGCAAAAACAACCAACGTCAGTACGAATTCAAAATTAGATAGACACTGTAATCAATTCATTACAGAGATGGACATAATCAATCAATGCTTTATTGTACGAAAGGCCATAGGCCCATATACATTCGAGTTACATATATTTCTGAAGCAGAACAAAAATACAATGTTGTTAACAATATGATGTTTTGCGTAATATTAAAGCATGGTGTATAAACAGAGCAATTTAGAATTGAATTGTAGGGTTATTGCAGGATAACAACTTTTTAAAACTATATATAGACATGAAGTTATATGGAGGTAAATACTTAGAGCTAAGTTGAGCGTAGATGGGGCAGACGTACATGAAATGGTACTCGTTTTCAACGCCATTATTACATATTTTGCAAAGTCGGGCTGATTTCTCGATGCCGTGATGTCTTCCTTTGTTCACTTCCAATTCACTGAGACCAAGTCTGAATCGTATAATGGTATTTCGAAGAGACTAAGGTTTAATGTTGTGGAGATAGGTTTCAGTTTCAAAGATCGATATGTGTCGTATCTTGAGCTCTCCTCCAGACATGAATGCCAATCCTGTTTGAACATGTCACTGGCGCGAGTACGAAATATTTTCAGAAGGAATGACAGTCGCCCACTGTTTGTGGAGTCCATACGAGGCCGAATCCATAGATGAGTAGTAAGTTTTTTATTGATGAAGCCCACGTGTTTTTGCCGATTTCGTTTAGGTGGTAAAGGATGTTATACGCTTTCTGCGGTAAGCGATGGGCTGGCATATGAATCAGTTTAATCAGTAGCGTAAGCATCTTGTGTAAGATTCGATGGTTACAACGGATAGCGTCCACACTCACCATACACCATGTTATTAGGAGTTGTGAGTCCAACATTTAAGAATTGTTTACAAGCGAATAAATGTAGTTTTTCTATTGAATGAAAACAGTGACATCCCCATATTTCGGAGCCGTAGAGTAAAATAAGTTGAATTTGGACGTCGAATAGTTTAAAAAATATTTGGGGTGTTATGACATCAACTTTATATAAAATGATTGAAGTTGACAAAATGCCTTCTTCGGTCTGGTTGCTAGTTGCTGTACAGATTTACTCAGGTTTAAGGTTTGTGTAAACATGATACCAAGATACTTGTACTCTTTTACTACGTTGATTCTGACACCTTTATATGTCCATCTCTCCTTTGCTGCGACTCGACCGCATTTCCTGAATATGACAATGTTCGTCTTATCCAGATTAACCGTTAGCTCCCATTCGTCCGAGTATTTAGCTAGGATGTTCAGCTGATTCTGTAGACCTGTTACGGAACTTGATATTAGGATCACGTCAACCGCAAACAGAAGTGATAAAAGTGAAAAATATCTCCATGTTTTCCTGAAAGCATTATTTCACTGTATAATTCGTTTACGAAAAGAGAAAAACAGTAGGGGGCTCAGTAAAAATACTTGGCGTAACCCAATTGGACAATCGTTCGGTACATATCCTTGGCGTAACCCAATTGGACATAATAAGCAGATCAAAAACATTTTTTGTGTACAATATCTTGACACATCAATGAATAACTCAGCACAATTCCAATACATTACGTGAACGTTTGCCATCCATTCAGACTCTTGACTTCAGTATCTAGTGTGACCACGAGCGGCAATAGCTGCAGCACAGCGTCTATGCATGGAGTGCACCAATCGATTGATGAAGGCCATTGGCACCTGGAACCACACTCTGAGAAAGGCTTGGCGCAATTAATCGGCTGTGTTCGGCCTTTGCATGACATTATTATGTCTCCTCTGAGTTTTATCTCAAAGATGTTCAATTGGGTTTAAATCAGGACTAAGGGCTGGCCACTGCATAATGTTGACACCGTTCTGCTATAGGAAGTCCCGTGTAGCTCTGGCGGTACGGGCCCAGGCGTTATCATGCTGGAACATGTTGTTCCGGTGACGTGCAAAATGTGGTATGACGTGGGGTCTGAGAGCTTGGTCGATGTAGCGCACCGCTGTGATGCCGCCTCCTCTCCCTGGACCAAAGTACTGGAACACCACAGGACCCCCTCTCTGGTTCAGGCCTATTCCACCCCGTACCATGATGCTTGCACCTCCCCATGAGTTTCTTTCCATAACACATTGGTCTGAGTAACGCTGGACACGTCGTCGCAATATTCTTTTTCTTCCATCTGCAGTTGATACGCAGTATCGACTCTCATCTGTGAACAGAACAGTTCGCTATTGCCTGTATCGCCAGTTTTGGTGTTATAGGACAAACTGTAGACGTTCACGCCGATGACGAGGGGTGAGGATAGGTCCACGGTAAGGTCTACGGCAATGGAGGTTCCCGCTCTTAAGACGTCGGCGTACTGTATCAGTACTGATTGGTCTTCCGTGTGTTCCCACTGTCTGGCGTGCTGTTTCGGAGGCCTGCATGAAGGGATTCTGTACATGCTGTCGCACAACGTGGCGGTCTTGTTGTCTTGTGGTCACCCTTGGTCTGCCAGTATGGGGGCGATCATTTGTGGTGTTGGTGGCCCGGAAACGTTGTTGCAGCCTGTAGATGGTCCGAACGTTGACCTGGAAGTGATAGGCAACGGCTTGTGCAGTGTGGCCAGCTTCAAGTCTTTCTTGCGCCTGGTTCCTCTGAGCTGTCGTGAGAGGGGTCATCCTGCTGACGTTGTAATGTGAATGTTTCAACCAGGTTTGGGGGTGCACTTTATAGGACTGGTCCTTGTGAACAGCACGTGCAGCATGAGTTGCATGAAAAACATGGAGAACACCGTACCATCTCCGAGATCAGGTTGCGTTTTTGAGACCATTCCCTGGGTTCCATTCTTAGTTTGGGAAGGAATGTCTTTGCCCAGGTAAAGTTGGAGATGTTGTCAAAAATATACAATCAAAACATTAAATGATTTTACAGTTATCCGTTTCTGCGAAGGAAAATTCCAAACTGACGGTTTTTTTGCTGCCTAGTATATATGGCAATCGGATAAAAGATTTCATTTACCTTGACATGAAGCCGTATGTAATGACTTGGTGTTATAACAACTTGTTACTATTACCTTTGTTGATATTACTTGTTGATTCGGTGTGAAGTGTGATATAATAATAAGTTGTTTACGACCTTTTACAAAGTCACTGTAAAGGTATATAACAGTGGCTGTACAAATGTAAAGGCAGTAGAACACAAAAGAGCAGGGTTAAGAGCAACACAAAAGAGCGACATAGACTGAGATGGCAATATTCATCTCATTGCAACAATGGTTAAGTTTCCAATATAATATGCGTATCCAGGGTCAGAATGACATGTAGACAGATGCTGGTCTTCTTGTAACTTAAAATGTAATCTGAGAGGAAAGAGTTACGCCCGTTTATATAAGTGAGAATATACTCAGGAATATTCTTCAACAACCTGGGAAAGGAATATAGTAGAAAAGACCAACAGTTGTTGTAGTTCATTCCAGAAACACAAGAATTAGTAAAGATCATATTGCGACGCCCTACTGTCAACAGGTACAGTGTATTACATCTGGAACATTGCTACACAATGGATAATGACATTTTAACTCTTTCCCGAATACCTGATTTAATCACTGATTTCAGTGGTCCAATCATATATATAATATGTCCATATTTATTTTGACCTTTACGCTAAATAAATCAGTTACTCATGCGTGTTAGGACTGGTATTATTTGGGACTGCAGTTTTATGTTCATACGATTTAAATCAATCTTCTATTTAATGTTAGCTGGAGTGCTGAGAAAATAGTTGGATCACCGGATGTGTACCCCGCCTATGGTGATCACGAAAACGCATGGGCATCAGCTGAGTGGACCGGTATTGAGTGGATAGAGGTACGTGAATCCTGTACCAAACACACGGTGATGACAATTATGGTCAACGTTGCCTACCTAGAAGTACATACTTCGGTGTCTTTAGAGTACCCATGACGTTTTCAATAGGGGTATTTTTTCTATTAATTTCATGTGAAGCCACCACCTTTACATTCGTTTTTATATACACACAGAGACGCCCGGTTTGATAAATACACCAATAATAGTGTTTCACTCGTTAAAATGTGTATACAGTACTTGAGACGATCTTAAATAAAAATAAAATAAACAAAAAAACACTAATTGACATATTTCTTAGCAAATGGATGAAACGTGAGTATTTACGTCTTAAGTTCTTCAGTACAGCAATATTCCATTGATGATGTCATACAGTTACGGCACCCGTGAAGTGCCACCTTCAACCCCCCGTTGTGCACCCGGGGGTATATTTGGTCCACCAACCCGTTTGCCGTGGGTTGCGCCCCTGTGTCGGTGGAGGACGGGAGTCTGGTGGTTGAGGGCACTGGTTCCAGGAACAGCGTTCCTTTGCCCAACACACCACTTTGCCCCTTACTTCCTATAGACGGGTGGTAGAACTGGCCCGGTTCTATCAATCGGCTGGTCACGCCCCCTGGGCTACAACTGCCCTGTGAGAAATACAACTGTCAAAAAATGTTGCACTGAATTTGAGAATAATATTAGGTGATATTTTTCGCAGAAGTCTAAAATAATAAAGTTGCATAC